CGTACTTAATGCATTCACCTTCAAGCGGTTCAATGCGAGAACCAAATGAACAATCTGGGCCACAAATCAGCGCTTTATGGAAAGAAACTCCGAATATCCAACTTGGCCCTGGATGTACGCGATATAATAGGTAGCTCCTCCTACCGATATGAAAAGTTAACTTAAAACATGTTTTAAAAGACTTTAAAGAACACCTTTTTTTAGACAATTCTTTTACTCTCGCATGCTTTAAAAACTTTTAACTTTATTTAACATTTAAGGGAAGAAAATGACACTTCTGTGTCTCGATAGTGCGGATTTAACCAAGCCTCTAGGGCGGATATGACAGTGATAAATGAAACAACACCACCTCGATGCAAACGACAGATAGGCTGAATCCTTGCTCTTTATTCTTGGAAAGGAAAGAGGGTAGAATCTTTTACCTCCTTGCAAGTGGTTTACGATCAACAATCGTATTAGACAGCAATAAAAAACGATCTTGTGCTTCTTCCTGACTTAAAGTTCGAATTCGTCTGCTTAATTGATAGATTGCCTCGCCAAAATTAATGCGTCCACGTAGATGGCAAGTGGAGAGTGTTGTAAAAGGAATATCTAGGATTCCGCGCTACGGTTCCGGTGTCAGTCAAATCGAAAGTGTAATGTTGCAGCTACGAACGGGGCTGCGGTGTCAGGTGTCTCCTCCTACGGTTGTAAACCGATCCATCTTACCTTTTATTAAGGCGTAACGCCAGGGACATCTCCTCTTGCCTACCGAGGACTTCAAACAAGGCGCGGTGCGGTGACGGACCGTTGGGGCACGGTGAGATTTTTAAATGACTGTGTTAAAGATCAGACATGGTGATTGCCAGCACTGTAAACCTTCAGACAGTAGGTGCGAATGCCTACCTTATTCTGGACGCCAAATTTTAACCCACAAACTGGTGTGTGGCAAAGTGCCAGAAGACGTTGGTCCTGCCGTGGCAACAGTTAAGTCAATTTTTTGTAATTTTGTCGAGTTAGTGCATTCTGGACTCGAAGTTAGCCTGTAGTTTTTGACTGGCACAGAGAAGTTGTAAAAAATACTTGAAACAGGCTGTCCTACGACGCCGCGACCACAATGGCAAATCATTTCATGCATTGTTAGCAGCAAACTTTACGAATGACAAATGTACTCTTCAGTCCCTGGAATTGCTTTTTTTCTTAAAGTCTTTTTTAGATCCCAAAGCACTCTGCTGACCTGAGTCCATGCAGTACCTATTCAACATCAGAATCGACGTCGCTGCTTTGCTTTGCCACACCCACATAACATTTGGAGCGCGGTCATAGGTCAGTTGTGATCCGCAAAATCGCTTAAATGTGAGTTTTTGTCACTTTTCTCCCTTATGGTACACATATAATCTGAAACATCCCATTCAGTAATAAAGAACAGACTTGCTACGCTTACGAATGTTGTCCCATGCACTAGTGAATCATTTTTTCGCCCTAAGTGTTAGAAAAGTCATTGTTGGTAAGAAGTAATACACAGTTGGCACACACATGTGGCGCACCGATTCTCCTATCGGAGCTCGTGTGTCACACATATGTGACGCACTTAGTTAAAGAATAAAATGCAACAGATTGAGGCCGAACACCAAGATATTGCAACTTTAATGGTTTTAAAGCTGCGGCAATTAACCTTTTTTTCCAGTTTTTTATTGTCTTTTCCCGAAAATGCCAGTCTTTTGTCATTAGCGTTGGATATAATCAGTCACTTTTCAGTTACCTAGTATCATTTTTGAAAGTATTAATTACGCTACATCGTAGCTTGTAAAGATTCTAACAAAAAAGAATTTGCTTATTAATAAGTATAATGATCCACTCAAGTTGCTACTTTTTCGTTTTCAATGAACGGAGTCACTTAGCCCCACGGATGGAATGACATTTGCATTAGTGACAAAGGTAGAGGGGGGCGAATTTCCGGCAGAAATCTTGCTTAAAGAAAAAAACGCTGGTTTATTAGGTGAGTTGGCATTTCATATGGGTAACTCCCACTGCCAACACACCGACAATCAAAGGAATCACCACGTAGGCCTTAAAACTCAGCATTTCATTGCCTCGGTTACGTCCTTCTAACTGCCCTGAGAGAGGTGAGAACATTCCACTCCAGTAAACATTTGATTCGATCGTCTTCTCCGGTGGTTGCGAAAGATATTTGGCCGAATTTTAAATAACTTTTCCAAGTTATAAATTGTAATGCAAAAAAAGCAGCAAGCAAACAATTGGAAATGTCATAAAGGCAAGATTTAACTTTTCCACCCGTGGATGTTCACCTTACAATTGGGGAAAAAAGAAAACGAGGGGGAAAGATGATTAAACTGTGAACATTACTTGCTGGGATGGCAATAAGATATTCCTTTGTTCTTGTTAAGAGTAGAACGGACTTTTTATCTAAATCTACGGTGCCTTTAGAGGCACCAACTTGAAGCTTGAAGTTACCTCTACCAGTTCGCTTTTCCACTTCCAACGGATTACCATTTTAGCAGGTCTTTGTTGGAAAAAAGTATTTAAGATTTTTTTCCTCTTCTTAGAGGAGACATTTTACACACGGGAATTCCCACTCTATAGGCCAACCGCGCTGTAAGGCTCTTGCCTTCTAATTGGAGTTTCGTGCCTTCAGTGTCTCTTTTTAGATCCGAGGACTAGTTTAAAGCAGGGCTTGTGAAATTGAGAAGCAAAAAATTAAAGAAACACACTCCCTTCGACGTTTGATATTTTACGAGCTTGGAAAATGGATCATACACTGACTGGATTAAGTCTGTGTTGTCGATGTCGCGAAAAAAGGTTGAGAGCGCTCTAGCGGGTACGCTAGTCGAATCTGAGGGGAAACACTTGCTCTAAAGTAGCATGAAGAAGGGGAATGCCCTACCTCCTGATCACAGTAATAAATAGCAATGTAGTTATCAATTATTTAAGGTTTTCTTTTTTTTCTACTTTTGGAAGATCTAATCAAACAAATTAATTAGTGGTAGCACTCCAGAGCACAAGATTGGCGGATGTAGGGAAGGGGGAAAGAGGGTGAGGGGAGAGGATTGGCAGAGAGGATGATGTGCCTCCAACAATCCTTCCGGTGTGATGCTTAAATGTGGTATCCAGCCGAGAGAAAATCACAATTTCTGATCGCTTGCGTACCCACTCGAGTCCACCCTGACGATCTAATGAGCACGTTGATATGAAAGTAGGCTGCTAGGTCACAAGATGATGATTCAAACTGTGGTACTTGAAGATCCTGCTTGGTCAAATATATTATTTGAACAAAAAATGTTTGTTTGTCTACATAGAGTGAGGCATTAATCAGTCGAATGGAAGAATGGCCAGTTCTAAGTGTTACAAGCCAGTCAAACTGAAACCATGGGATGGTAGGGAGGCACTACCCACCCCTCTCTCTTTCTCTTCTTTTTCTGAAGCATATTCCTCCAAGTTGTGTTTATTACCTTGCCCTAGCACCAGACGACCACATGATCCCGTGCGCCGTGAAACAGGCAACTGGAGGAATAAACTGTGCTATAAAAACTTGGGTGACTATGACTGAAACTCTTGCTTCTAGAAGAAAATGCGCAATTAATTTTAACGATATCAGCAATTTTCATTGGAAAAAAATTTTATAAGTTATAAAGCCTGTTAATTTGGAGATTAATTGAAGGGAGAATACTGGAATGAATCCCGTGGGAGAACAAATGAATTCGTAGTAAAGCGATGGAAATGACACCTCATCCTAGGCAAACCAATGTCAATCTTTCCCATTTTGATCTTTTTGCGTCACCGTCATAGTTGCCGCAATCCTCCACCCCTCCCCCACTCAACGATAGTAAACCATTAACTAATCCCTGTCCAGGTAACCGTGATCACTATGTCTCTCACCCCCCTTTAGTTACCAGGTTGCCAGAATGGGAAAAGAACGGGAGGAGGGAGACGGCGGAGCGATATTGATGGGGTAGTTGGTCCCCCTCCACATCTTTTCAGCCTAGAGGTCACTATAATGTCTTCCCCACCCATCTCTCCCTTCCCCGAATAGAGTAATTAAGTGAGTGGACTGATTGATAAGATTACGCAACCAAATACGAAAAACCCGAGGTCAGAGGTTACACAAAATCGAAACGGGGTTAGTGGGATGCATGACTGAATCTCTTCCAGAATGCTTAAGTGCATGCATTTTTAATTAACTGGTCACTCTTTAAAAGCATTTCTCGCTCAGTCTGTGACCAATTTAAAATGGGAATTTTTTAAGCGCCTATGTTGTTTAATAGCTGGAAAATTTGATATAGTAGGGCAGCAAAAGGTGATTATTGAGGTGGAGGTTCAGGTAATCAAATTTCATTCATTTTTGGGATGTCTCGTGGCCTTGGAATCAAATGAGGCAATGAATAAATGATCAACTCTACAGATTCTGTGGTCTCCACTGCTTCCTGCCCAGTCTTGGTGTCTTGTAGTTCTATCCATTAAACCTTCAAAGCATGAAGAATAAATGTAGCGCTTTCCCTCTTTTTCCCTTCACCCTTGGTCTTAAACTCCTCTACTGCGAAAAGTGCTAGGAGGAAGGCAATAAGTCCATTGTGGAAATGTAGATTTTTACAAACCATCAAATGCTTAAGGCGAAGAAGGGTCCAAACTCAGCCGTGGTTTCCTTCTCTACGAGGGTCGATGCCGTCCCCCCCCCGCTTGTCACCTGAGAGAAACCAAGAAGCTACGGGATCAGTGGTATGGAATGGTGTGAGCCGAGCCCCGTGCCATTGCTAGACTGATATTCATTCGCTCCTTTACTTGTTTCAGGAAGGTGAGGAATGCTTAAACAAGGTGGCAAATTGGCTTAATCATCGTGGCAATGTAGTAGAAGCCATTATCATAATTAAAAGTGGTTTACGGGAGAAGAGTAGAGTCACTTTACAAGGCGGCTACAAGCAGGTTGGTCGCTTGTGTACGGGTGGGTAGTTCTGTGTCAAGAAAATTCCACCACGATGTGAAAAACTTATTGGGACTTGCATCCCAGTTTGCCCGCTTACTCGACCACATGTCTTAACCGGCTTGAATGGTAAAGGTAACTTACAACGGTTCGAAAAACAGAAGTGCAATGTCATGGTGAATTATTACTTTACCTAACTTCTGTCAGTCCTCCTTCTCACTTTCACCATTCGTTGGAATTCATACGGAAAAGTTCCCTTGTAAACCTTGCGAATCAAAACAAAACAGACAGCTTTGAAGTGCAAATTGCTGGAAAAAGGTGGTTACAAGAAAGCTGCATGTGGGTGCCGAATATTGGCAGTGACCTGACTTCTGGCTGCCCTGAGTTTTGCTGGTGGTGGGTAAAGCGTTTGGTTGCCAGCACTTGGTCTCTTCTACTATGGCTGGATAAGATGGGAGTTATTTTCGGCAGATGACCACTAATGATGGTTTCTAGGCTTCATTTTCCATAAAATCTAGTCTCTTTTGCCTTTTTTGATTATATCTTATAAAGTTTTCTTCATTAGTGTGCTTGTTTTCAGCGTCACATATATGTGACGCCCTTAATTTATCAATTCATCCATGCTGGTCACAACAAATATTGACGCATATAGATTGCCTTAGTTGAAAATGGGAACCATTTTGGTTTGAGAGGGATGATCACACCCAGAAACAGTGAAGTATCTGGGCTGTGATTGCGGATTTTTCTCCGGAACTCTGGTAACCAACACACTAAAGATACCCTCCGTTCACAATATCTTTTCAATGTGAATCGCTAACATTAATGGGGCGTCTCTAAAACACCAATTTGAAAGATGAAAAGTCGTAGATAGCATTTTCTGCCAGTCCGTTTTAGGTAAAATCAGGTAGATAAATCTCAGCTGTTACTGCTTGGCTTTCAGAAAGTAGACAAGTTGCTGGTAAATATATGTATCTGCGGTCCACCGCGTCCGCACGAGGCAAGTAATCTTGCAAGGATAAAGTAATACTTGCCTTAAAAAGCAGTGTAATGAGTTCAATCATCCGAGGGTAGGTAACCATCCATCCATTGGTTAAAAGACAATCAGAGATCAATCTAAAGTGAGGGACATCAAGTAAAAATTGACTTAATGTCAACTAGTGAATTTGCTCAGCTTCCACGACCTCCACTACTCAGTTAATTTACTTTATTTTGACTTGATTTTAAGCGTATCTGGAAGGTTTCGACATGTTAATAGCGTTAAGAATAAGGTGACGTCTCGAACATGAGGCAAGATGTACTGCTTCTCACCTCTTCTCCAAAGGCTATACAACTAAGTGGACTAGGCGCCTCTACAGCTTCAAGACTGGGTTAACTTTTGTTCGTCAAGAAGGTAAACTTCAAGTCCTAGAGAAGGTAGTACAGAGCACCGTCCAAATAACTGCACCAATATCCGAGATTTCCAATGCACATGAGTTACAAAACAGTCATTCCAGAGAGCTATCAAAATACTAACACCATCCACGTTGGTCACTTGGTGTATCGATGACAGCTAAGTGAACCTCCAGTCACGTCATCCACCATGGACATACCCAACTCCGTCCAGCCACTATGACATTGAGACGAAGGACCCTCGTCACAGCTGGGCATGAACTGATTTTTCGTACACTCGTTTATCCCCATTGTTAGTTCTTTTTTCCCCTCGGAAACCTTATATCTGCTTTAATTTTGGGGCTGTTGTTGAGGCTTATGTGTTGTTCATCAATAATTGCGCATTTGACAACCGTGGAATCAGCATTCAAACCCAACAACTAGGCTAACCTCCTCTCTCACGTTACTGGTGCTTTCTAAATGCCCGAATAGACAAATAAACCGGTTAAATAATTATTTTTCCCTTTTCTTACTTCAAAAGCAGGATTTTAAAGAAAAAAGTTTTCGAAGAAGCTTTTAAAGATAACTGGGACAGAGAAACCTAGCCGTTTGTTAGAGGTTAAATGCTGTTTCCTTTCTGCATTGACCAAGCAAAACCCCTCCCCCCCCTCCTTGACCTTATCAGACCCTCTCACCCCACCGCCCTTGAAAATTGCGCTTTCCAGGGAGGGGAAAGAGGATAGAAATACCCATACGCATTTGAACCCTGGACACCGTCGTTAGAACAGTAGTGACAGGTTAATTCACCCAACGTGTATGGGTTTTCCCCTTTTTTTGTAAATTTACTTAAAAAGGTGCAAACGCGCACTGACAATGATAGTGTGGCAGTGTTTCCCACACTTCTGTGCACCGATTGTCAATATGCCATTGAAAGCAATCCTTGTCAATCGATATATTCAATTTTGTGGCAGAATCGGTGATGTCCCAATTCCAAGGTCATCGATTTTGGAGGGCGGGGGAGGGGATACGGTGGTACGGATCTGCCACAGGCGGATATGAGGGCTTGATGCTTATCACTGGGCCATAAAGCCAGAGGGCTTTTGTTTGTCCAACTGATAGGACAGGAGGTCAATGCCTCTAAGGTGTGTGGAGTTGATAAAGGCTAATGCAACTCCCCAACATCCATCGTGGTCAGACAGGAATCTTCAAGTCATTCGGTTTACAAATAAGCCATAATCACTTTTTCAGCAAAAAGAGAAGAGATTTACCCTTTAAATGTTGCATAACAGGCGCAAGCATCACGAGTAGGGCTGTTGAATGTCATCCAAACAGAAGGGAATGTTGCTACTATCCACTTTACTGGTATTTCGTATGTTTATAATAAATCTACTTCCAGATAGGTGGATCTTGTAAATAGAAAGGAGTCGGGCCAAAAAAAACCTTCTTGCAAAGGACGTGGACGTGCGTGAATGAATTGTTCGTGTAATCACGTTTACCGGAAGGGAGTCCATCCAAATCGCAGTGAAAATTGGGAGGCAAGTTAGAATGCGCTTCCTTCCTGAATGCGCTGTTTATTGCGGGATCTTGGGGTTTGAATCGGCGGCTAACTCGCCCTCACGACGAGAGCAGAACGTGGTGTTGAGAGACCCTACAACTCAAGTAAGCGGTCACAGACGTAAGGATATGAGCTGCATAAAGCCAAAGGGAATGCTTGTAGCTCGGTGAGTAAATAAATCCCACAGGATGGGAGTAGTGGCGATACGGGCGCCGTTGAGTAGGTCCACGTTAAGCCAACGGCGGCTCCGGGGGTGACAAAAATAGAGGAGAAAAAGGGGAAAAAGTAACACAAAAATGATCACCAACTGCTGTTAGGAAGTGATACCGCGCTAAGTAAACCAAATAGACGAGTGAGTGGCAATGTAGGATGAAGGGGTGATGGAAATATGGATGCAGGTCCAAAAAGCCTCCACAAAGGGTTGAAGGGATTCGCATCCCCACGCCAAAGTAACCGAGCTATCACTCGCCTTGACTAGAGGGGAACCCCATTTTACTTGCCTGCAAATTAACAATTACTGGAAGCGTCAAAAATTGGCGCTATTAAAGGGTACTTTGTGGGGAAAACTTCCGGATTTAATCAGAGGTATAGGGGGTACCTTAGATGGGTGCTCGTGGGGAGCTGCCGCTTAAGTGCTAGATGCAGGCTTTTGGAGAGATTTTGTTCGAGTCTACAGCATTCATTCCTCTGAAGTCAACGTGAGAATGCAAAAGACGAGTGGAAATGCTAATTCATCAGCACTTCTGAGGCGGTCGAGGCTGGCTAAGTCGGCCAGCATTGAAATTCACGGCTTAAGGACCCCCCCCCACACACGCGGATTTAGAAGTGGTCGCCAAATCGCACCATCTCTACTTCATGTGCGAAGCCGAAGGGTGGTCGGTGAACTTGTAAAGCGTGGTCACATCGTTTTCTACCATGGGAATACTACCGAGTCTCACCACAGGGTGGGGGGCCCTTCCAACTGCCCTCTTATTTACGACCGCCGGTCCGTGCACGTGATTAATTTTGTCCGGCTTGCTCCTTTTTGTTGTGCCTCCATCGTCGCCTCCCATACTGCAATGAGGCGACCGATTTGGCAGGGAGACATGAATTGTGCAATTCGCTGGTTCGGTAGACGCTACCTGGCAAACCTACATTAACGAGGCTTGATATGATATTTCGTAAATAAGGTAAATACTGACTCTTTTGTATAGTTATTGCAAATTTTGCGTAAAATATAAGGTCAAATTGGCATTTCGTCAGTCTTTTTATGCATAATTAGTAGAATTAACAGAATACTATCCGATTCAAATTAAGCGTTAACATAATTGCTTAGTAAAAATAAGTTTATGCGCTCGCATAAAAGAGGAGTAAAATTTCAAACGCCGCATTAAGTGAAAATATACGGTAATCAGTGAACCTTTTTACTTAACTCATATTCTTTAAAATTGACATGATAAGAAAATAAAACACTTCTTAAATATCGGGTTTTACACTAAATAATAAGCATTTCTCACTGAAAACCCGGTAAAACTTGTTATATAGATTTAGAGAAATTTGAAATTACTGTGTTACCGCCTTACTGACATCAATTCCAACTTGCAAATCAACTTGGTTCAACGGAAATAATAGTGATGGAAATTAAAGTTCACTATTCGGAAATTTAGAATCTCATCGCGCCTCGGACGGGCACGAGAGGAAAACACGCCTTTGAAATCAATCTACTTTATATATGTAAGTAAAAAGGCAATAAGTTGGCTCTTAAAAATATAAAAATTTGATCTAGGCTTTGTCATCTAAAAAGGGGAATGTTGTGATCCTTCAGTATTGCTACTATAGCTAAGTGTAGTGTCCGGATACTTTCCTGAAAACGAAAGAAGACACAATACTCGGGCGGAATATACATATTCCGCACAGAGAAGGTGTTTGGGCTATTGGCATGGTCTGAAAGGCCAGCCCACCCAGCGAGGTACAAGCGGGCCAATTCAAAGTACAAAAGTAGCGCCTCACCAATCCCGAGGGATAAATTACCATCGTATTACATAAGTGACCCGTAATTTCGGTGGGAAGCGACTGAATGCTAGAATGGCAGACTAGGCAGCCACGCCAGAAGCTCAAGTGATTCCTTTTTCCTTCGTAGGCTCCAATTTAGGGAGAGTCCGAAGTTGACACTTTCTGATTCATTCTGCTTCCTGATCAAAAGCGGTGCAAAATGCACGTGGCTTGGTCAAAATTAGCTTCTACATTGGATAAATTCACCGACGAAATGTCTGTTACCCCTACAGATTTATACTTGGATTCCCGCCACCCCAAAAGTTTTCTACCAAAACCAAGCGTTTGTGTATTATTAGAAAAATGGTTTAGTTGAGCCACTTTGCGTACTTTATCAGACCTTTGGAAAGTCTTGCTTTCACTAATAATCAACTAGTTCTTAATAAAATAAGGCCTTGGGAAAGCCAGATTACTAATTCTACCTAACGTTGTTGTCGATAGATTAAACCACAGCCAAAAAGCTGCAGCGCATGTTTTATTCGAATTTCGAGTTCTTCCAGTTATTTAGATTAAGCAAAGGGTGTTAATATTTAGTGTGAGATAGTGTAAAAGACTGCCTGTTTTAATTTACTTAGCAGAAGAAAATCAGTTTTATAATAACTAGAAACTGTTTAAAACTGTAATAAAGCCTAGGAATATCAGCTAAAGTAGTGTAGCGTCCCGAGACTCCCTGAAGACGAAAGAAGACACAATACTCGGGCAGAATACACATGTTCAGCATGGAGAATGTGTCTGGGCTATTTGTATGCCCCAAAAGGCCAGCCCACCCAGCGAGGTACAAGGGGGCTAATTCAAAGTCCAAAAGTGGCGTCTCACTAGAACCGAGGGGTAAACCAGTATTGTATTACAGTATACTAGGCTGGGGGTATGGAAGAGCCGACTTCGGCTTTTAGCAAGTGGATTGAAAGGTCCGCGCATGGGGCTCCTTTCAACATTTAGCATTGGGGCCTAGCCAAGTTTTACAAAATTGGAAGCATATGTGCTAATCTGCAGCAATAGTGTTGATAATTGACTTAAAAAGAAAAATCTAATTCTTAAATAGGGGACGTTTTGGAAACTGCCGTCAAGAATTGCTTTTAGAGGTCTTGTACTTGTTTCGCCAAGTTTCAATAAATGATTAAAAGTCTTTATGACAAACTCGGTACTATTAAAGTAGTATTTTACTAATAGGGACTCTCAACTCCTGTAAGGATCCTAAGAGTTTTTTGGAAACATCTTAGTATGGGAAGTGATTCACTGAACATAATATTCGATAAAAAAACCTCAAGCACTATTATTTGAGCACAATCTTGACGCCTTTTTCACCTATTCATGTATTCCGAGTGGTGTTTTGTGATAAATCGATGCAAGTGCTTGGAATGGCTGCGCACGATTTCTCATTTTTGTGGTCAAACTCGTACAACAATGCCTTGTTTAAAAGGCGGCCAGGAACAATATACTTCTAATTAATTTGACAGACATGACGGGCAATTAAAAATTTCTGCCCGGACTATTTCATGTTTTATCAGTTCTTTTATGCCATTGTAAACAGTTTTAGTACCAAAAAAGAAGCGATCGAATTTGTTGGATTTATGAAATCCATGCTGCTTAACGCGATTCCATTTAAATAAATACTAATGTCACTTAATTAAGTTTTTGCTTATTTTTTTCTACTTTAGTCTCAGCTTTCGGCTGGCAACCAATCGGACACTTCGTGAATGTTTCAGGCGTGTAAATATTCCTAGTAGAATGATAAACGAATTAAAGGTTATATCAGACCCTATATCGGCGCACATATGGGGATCCCTTCACAATCATGCCTTTAAGGAAGCTCTGTTTGCTGCAGAACGGCTGTTCGCTGAAACGAAGAATGAAGAAAGCCTGTATTTGCTTGCTACTTGCTTTTATCGGATGAATCGACCAAAACAGGTTATTCGTCTTCTTAATTCAAATACTTTCTCCTCTTCAAAAATTCGCTACCTCTTGTCCAAATGTTATTTTGATTGTGACATGCTGACTGAAGCTGAAAATTCCCTTCTTGAATCTGAATGTTCCTCGAAGTCTCTGATTGACACTCTTCTAGACTTCGGAGAACAAGCTTGCTATGCCTTTCTTCTCCTTGGTGATGTGTATAAACTGCAAAGTAATTTTCAAAAAGCTCAAATGTGCTATAAAGAATGTCTTAAACTAAATCCTTTCATGTGGACGGCTTTTGAAAACCTCTGCTCCATTAGTGAATTTATTGATCCTGACGAGGTGTTCAAAGTAAACCCATCCCTCGGTCTATTTACACCGACGTTTACTGTTGTTGGACAGGCACTTTCAACCACCAAGTCTCCTGTGAATGTCAACATCAAAGCAGAGAGAGATAAACTTGGCAGTAGAGAAAACGTCAATCCGAACGGTCCTGTCAAAGAGGTTCCCGACTTGCCACTTGATAGTGATGCAGAAAAAATGGCTGCGCCATTTAGCACTACCCAAGTTGTAAAAAGCACTTACGTTTCCCAATGTACAGCCACCAATCAAGACTTTTCCACTACCCATCCTCTCTTACCCGACGATCTTTCAGTGAACTTTACCCCTGTCGGCTTTCCGGTGACCACAATTACACCTAGTGCGCCTATGATAAATCGGGATGAACTCAAAACCAAGAAACTTTCCGCTACTGACAATACAACGTCAGCTAATGAAATTCCATCGTTTGGTTTCCTGTCAACGATTCCCCAAAGCCCCATGTTTGCATGTCTCCCGGTACGTAAATTTGTCGCTTTTATTCGCTTAATTTACCGCAAAAATTGGTTAATATTTATCTGTTCTCTTTTCAGGTGTTTTCTCGCCTCGATTTAAATTCCACCTTTGCCGTTTCTGTATCAAGTTGGGAGAGCATTCAACCCTTTCGACTAGCTTTCCATCAGGCTACAGCTAATCGCCGACTGAGCGGTCGTCAAGCTCCTCCCAGTAGTAGTCAGCTTCAATCAACCATTCTTTTCAACACGTCTACTACTAATGCTACCTCGGCCCTGGCCCAATGGCGGTCGAAAGATGCCAAAGTTTCAACACCTATGGCGACCACTGCATCGGTATCTCCCTCTGGTGGCATTTTTGGACACAACTGTACCCGTGTGTCGGGTATCACACCACTACCTCCATGGCTTCCGGGCTCCCCCATTTCCGTTATGCCAGCGGCTGGGTCTTTGGGGAGTACTAGCACTCCTGCTGGCAATGGAACTACTGCATTTTCCATGGCGAAACCTCTGATCCTTGATGAGTTGAGTGAAAGTACCAACGTCACCACTTCCCGAGTGAATAACATCCCAATGGAGGTTAACGAAGCTGCTGAGGATCTTTGTCGGGACTCTTCTGCATCTAATGATGGAGGTGGTTTTGTGGAACCACGTACCCGAGCTCAGAAAGCCCGTGCAGCAGCCTCTGCTAGTCAGCGAAGGTCTACGCGCCTCAGCAGAGCTCCCAAGACATCTACTGACGACCCGATGAACGAGGAGTCCAAAAAATCCTTTGTGCGACTCGTTACTACCACGAAGCTGCCATCCCGACCGTCAACAGGGAAGGAAGAGGTGTCAGAATACCCAAAGGTGGTTTGTACGGCTTCAGGTGATAGAAGTGATCCCCGCACTGAGGCGATCTCGGCCTACCTTCACCTTCTTCGCTGTCTGGGGCGCTCTTTCAGTCTGCTCACACAGCACGACTACAAAAATGCTGTCGCCATTCTCTCCGAATTGCCTTTTGAGCATCTCGCTACCGGTCGGATACTCGCATGGGCCGCTAGAGCTCATGTCGACGCTGTTGACTACCCCAAAGCCCATCGCATTTTTAGTGAATTGAGACGGATCGAGCCATGGCAGCTACACGGCATGGATCTCTACTCCACCGTGCTTTGGTATCAAGAAGCTGATCAAGAGCTATCCCAACTTGCAAGCGATCTCCTCACATTGGATCGCAGTGCTCCAGAGCCCTGGACCGCTGCCGGTAACTACTACTCCCTTCAACGCGAGCACGACATTGCAATTCGCTTCTTCCGTCGGGCCCTGCAGGTCTGTCCCACGGACGCCTATGCATGCACTCTCTTGGGGCACGAGTACATCTCAGTGGACAATCTGGACCGTGCGGCCTCAGCTTTCCGACACGCGTTGCGTCTAGATGGGCGCAGCTACAGTGCCCGATTTGGCCTGAGTAATGTGTACTTCAAGCAAGACTACTTCGGTCTGGCGGATGCGCACCTTGTGCGAGCGATTAGCCTCTTTCCCAACTCTTCCCTCCTTCTCACTCACCTGGGCGCGATCCGAGCTCGGATCGGACGATTGGACGACGAACCAGGCAGCGCTATCGATTGTCTCAACAGGGCGGTCAATTTGAACCCCACCAGTCCAATTGCTCTATACCATAGGGCCTGTGTGCTGTCATCGCTGGGACGTTATCAGGTGCGTTATCATCGCTCTTCTTTTGCTCGTGGCTTCTGACACGCATATGTGCAGGCTGGCTGACCCAAATGCATCTGGTAGCTGGTTCTTGCCTGCTACGAGTTTCAGGCCATCTTAATGATGTAATGGGAGTGACACCGCTGGTATTTAAAAAATCACTCCTGCGATATTTTTGCAATGAGTTATTGAATAAGCTGAAGGAAAAATGTTTATTAACATTTATTAAGTAAACTACAACAATCGATGATGTAGTTGTAGCCTCAGGAAAGTACTTTCCTTCGCAAAATTGGGGAGAATGTGTTCCGTCGTCTTTATTTTAATGTCTATTTGTACTGAGTAGTACTTCACCACCATATTTTATTTATGCAAGAAATCGAAGGCCCAGCCGTTTACACCAATGATTGGACCAATGCGGACACCAGGTGATTCTTTCCGATTTCTGATTTTCAGCCATGTGTTGAACGCGGATGTTTCAGGATGCATCTCGCTCCCAAAACGCACCTACGCGTAATACCACTCGCAAAAATTTATCCTTTTCCCACTCCAAATATCCTGTTTATCAGTGTCGATTATAGCCTCGTGTTTTATGCTGCATTTTCAGCTGCCTTCATAATGTCTGTATTTTTCCGAAAAGGTTGCTCTGAGCTTTCACTTTTGTGTGAGGTTAATAAAAACGCTTAAAATAAATTGTGGTGGCCGTCTACTTGTTGCGAACAGGAATGCCATACACGAAAAATCCCCGTCCAGCCGATATACATTTGTTCAAATGTTACTATCATTATTTGAATGGCCAATTAAGGGAAGACTGGTTGGGGAAGGCCTTTGCCAGTCTGTTGTTTCTGTTCTCCATGTTCGTGTATTTTTAGGGTTTAGTACGAATAGTTGAATGTTTTTTTTGTCTCAGTCTCGTAAAAACTGCCTTGAGATAACAAAATCATTGGTAATTGACCTCTCCTTCCTTTGCAATAACAAATACGTTTGAAAACATGTAGAACCTGAATGCGTGAAAACAACTTTGTTAGGTGGATAGGTATTCGATGAGATTATTCAAAGGATCGGACACCAATGAAGGAAAAGTTCCCCAGTTTTAACACTGATAAGCTGACATAACTTTGGTCCAACTCGGACTGTCCTTAGGCATCTTTATGGCCGATAGTAACAATATCTTTGTATTTTTTGTGTTAGGACGCGATAGAAGAGTTGGAACGGTTGATGCTGATAACTCCGCACGAGGCGATGATCTACTTTATGCTGGGCCACGCCTACCAAAAGGTGGGCAACTCCCCTCAGGCCATGATCTACTACTCCTGGGCCATGGAGCTTGATCCGAAGGGTGTGAATACCAATCTGCGTGACATAATGACTAGTGTACCCACAGGTCCCCAACAGCCCTCTCTTGGTCCCTTCGCCTGTGCTATCAGCACTTCCGCTTCAGGTCTAGCGGCGTCAGAGGCATCGAGCTCTGCACCGATTATGACAGGCCTCAGCTCACGTTCGTATCACCGACGTGGCGGAGCTGGCAGTGGTGCTGGACGCTCACGTCGTTCCACTCGGGGCCGTCAAGCCACCGTTCGCGGCGCTCCGCCTCGCCGTCTCTTCCTCACCTCTACCCTCTCCGCTGTTACCACGGCTGTCGCTACCCCCACTGGTGTTGATAGCGAAGTCACCGGAGATGTCGCTCCCGGAGACTCCTCGGCGGGGGCGAATTTCTCTCTATTCCCCGGTGGCGGAACCAGTAGGAGCATTTTCCGTTTCTCGTGGAATCGACGAAGAGGTGCTGCCTCCTTGGAGAGCGGAGGCGGAGAGGTGGAGGCCATGGGAGATGCGGAGGCGGAGACAGAGGAGGGCGAACGGGAGGGGGACGGAGAGGAGGAGGAAGAGGAGGAAGAAGAGACTATGGACATGGGTGATGATTAGCATTCACCTCTCTTTCTTACCCTCGAGGCAAATGTCATTTCGCCTCGTGAATTTTTATGGAAAACATTTTACCGACGTGTTGACATAGTCTCGTATGTATGTGCGTGCGTGTATAACATCTCCCTCTCTTCATATATACATATGCATATACCGAGTCCTTCCATCGGCTTTCACTGAACAAACCAACTTTATCAGGAGGTGTAGTTTCGTTATTTGATGTACTGACAAAATTAAGCTTTGAATTGAAAAGCCTTGACAAATGTTGGTACTTCTGCTCTTGCGTGCTGCTGTTAGTCATTGTAAATAGAGAAAAGGTAAGATTTGACGCGGTGCTTAGAGATTAGCCTTTGTTAAGAGCAGCTTTCAGTTGTGTTTGACGTAAGCGTTGGTGGGACAGCGAATTCACACTTACTTCAGCTGAGAAGGAAAAAGTGTAGAAAGTGGTAAGTGGATGGGTATCGTCAAGATGTTATGCACTGAAAGGTGACTACCCTCCACTCTTGAGGCGTATACCACTTTATCTCCAGAGGGCTCTCTTTCCTCTGCGTTTGCGTCTTTGGAACGCTGACACGATTGTTCACTTCCAGGGGTTAAAGCATGTTCAAGGAACGCTTCTTTGGTCCTTGCCCAACAAGACACCAGGATGGAAGGCTTCATATTGTAAAGCTTGACCTTGAGAAGTTTTATACCACATCCTGATCCATTGTACCTCCAAAACCCAGACTATTATTTTCTGATGGCATTAGGAAATCGCATAAAAAGCAGTGGACTGGCAAAAGGTGGCGGTGGTCAGGACTTGGTGTTTTTCTTCCTAAGACAAAGTACTTTTTTACAAATATGGAATTAGCGTTCATATGCCTCGTTGGGGACGGACCATGGAGTGAAGGTTTTTGGTGTTAACAATTTAAATGAATGAAATATTTCGGGAGGCGTTTTTATTACTCAATTTTTACTCTCATTTCCATTGTTTAGTTATGCTAACCAATCAGAGGCACGTTCTGCTTTTCAAAGAGCCAATCACTTTCGACCTTGGTAAAGGCAGTTAGCCAATTAAGCTGTAGCCGTTTCGATGACGTATTTCTCATTTTTTAAACTCTGTTTCCATAAAAGTCGATGTATTTTGGGTAGGATTATAAATTAAGAGTTTTTTTACTTCACCTAACAACTACGTTGGTTGTGGGAGGGCAAACACTCTACTATATTAATAATAGTAGCAATGTTGTGTGGCGCGGATTTTGCCAAAGCAAATTAGGCATAAAAAACGACTAATAAGCTCCTCCTTCCTCAGCTGGGTTATTCGCATAAAATGCGTCATAAAACTGCAAACCCCCCATTAGTTTTGCTCCACTTAATTATTAATTCTGAGAAAGGCGACCACTTCTTAATGTTGCATTTTAGTTTAAAATTTTGGTGTAGCTTTGGGCCCCATGTAAGCCATAAGCCATGAAGCTATCCGCCTGCATGTTTGGATATTCTTCATGATACAGGTCACGCACCAAGCATACAATTTCCGCATCAGGTAAGTCCTCTCATTCGCTTTGTTAAGTGATATGTATCAGTAAGGTAGGCTTCAGTGTAAATGCTCGTAACCACTCCTGAATCCGCTTCGCTATTTCTCACAGCATAATTTTATTTAGACAGCTCACGCAAAAAGGGAATGAGCATATGTAGAAACTCCCGTACAGACGTGAAGGCTGTAGAATGCGCTCTAACAGCTCTAAAAGATGCATTGGAATTTAATACGTTTTCCATAATAACATCTTAAACAAAAAAGGTTTTTTTTTTAAGCATTCTTACTCAGCTTTATAGGGGAAATCATAACCAACACTTCATTCCTACTCTACTTGTGTGTTTAATTTGCTACCTACAATGAACGGTGGATGATGATTAGGGCCGCTTAAAAGAATAGTGACTATCATCCTCGCCATTGCTTTCTCGTGAGTAGGTTTTTTTGAATAGCATCCAGGCGCTCGTGCCTAAATGATTAGTTCATTGTAATTTGAAGGTAACTATGCCTTTTCTCCTAGCAACAAAGCAGTCACATTTCCGCGTTTGCCGCCAGAGCCTTGGGGGAGAATTAAGCGCCTTAGATCAAATGTGGTGAACATGGTCATCTCTCAAACGACTCGTAGAAGAGCGCGTTGGATTTTAAGTGGTAGGCTATACAGTGTCTAGAACGTGTTAAATGTTGTCTTCAAATCACCCATTTATTGTACTTTAGAAATGGCTGCAAAATTATCGTGTCCTAAGTCTTCTCTGAAACTGTAATAAATCAAATCTTTACCGAAGAAGTTCTATTATCAACTTGCAAAAGAGCTAGGAGGCAACAGGCATAACTGGAAGGCTGTACTGATTTACATACGGTAGGGATTAGGGAGCTCCCATAGGTAACTGTGCCTTGCAACCAACGTCCATCCATTGCATACTTGCCCTCCTCTTTTCAGCAACCTCCTCGCCGTTTACTCTTTGTAAAGATTCTGCATAAAGCTTAACCAACCACGAGAGCTAACTAAGGATAACGAATTCGCATGTCGGAAAAAGTGCTACATGCTGTAGGTCTAGGAGCAAATATCTGGATATTACCTCCTTTGCTAGGCGAAGTGCATTCTTCTATGATAAAATCTCCTTGGGTTTATCTATCTACAGATCTTTAAAGCTGGCAACCAGAGAGTGAAATTAGCATGGCTTTTCACTTCCATCGGATTTAACTCTACCTCCTCCTTCCTCCCCCTATCACCAAAAGTTAAAATAAGCTAAATCTGAATGGAAGGATGTGCTTTTCAATAACCCATAGAAGAGGTGAAAGGCTGTAGACGTGGCCGAGAGATCGAAGAGGTTACACCGTCGAAAGTACATTAAAACGACTGAATTTACCTGGTCGGTTATAACACAGATCACCTGTCACCTGCCTTTTTTGGGCAATTCACATCTAGCAACTTAATTTTCAAAAAAACTTGTCCAAAGGCACGACTTATTTAAGAGAACCTTTTTTTGAAAAATAAAATGTGCCTTTGATGGCAAGAGAGGTGGTTTGTAGGAAGGTAGCTAAAATCAACAATTATTTGTGTATAGACAATTAAAGCACACCGTGTTATGCACAACTGCCTCCTTCCCTTTACTTCCGACAATCGACTGGTTGGGAGAAAAGTGCTACTTAAATAAGGTATGTAGTAGTTGAGTGTGTACGTTAAAATTGTAAATACTTTACTTTAAATGGGCAAGCTGCGAAAGTTCGCAACTACCCTCCAGACTTATTTAAAAAAGTAACAAGGATATTTGCAAAGCAGCTTAAAAAATCCAGTTACCTGTTTCAAAATGACTACCAAGTCCTTAAGATTGATTTCATCTACTTATTTCTCAGAACATTTTTTGTGTGGAGAGATTTGTTTATTGATATGTTTATTCCATCATCTTGGTGCCATAAGGCCCCAATTATGGGTACTGTCAGCCATCCCCTCTTTTTAGGGATGACTCAGGGCGCCATTGTAGTAGCAGGAATAAGTAAATCCGTTCCAGGTGGCCAGTAACCAGGAGATTGTAGGCTAGGTGTCACATCTAAACGTTATAAAAGGGAAGCATATCCTGGAAAAAGGCTGATACGGCAAGGACCCAACAAAAGGGCTGCCGGGCCCTCGTTCCTATTTGTGGTTTACTCAAGACTAGAATTTCCCATAGGGGTTAGGAGTGCTGTAGGGGAAATGGAGTGAACAAATCGACACCACGCCAGCCTCTGCCGTGATCAAAAGGCAAAGTGCTCTTCTCCCTCTTTTTCATGCTGTTCTTTGGTTGCTTAGACGAATAAGTAGGAAAAACGCCACTGAGCAAAAACTGGCCTTTCGAAATTTTGTTTTATCCATAAACGGCAAGTTTTATAATTGTATCAAGCTAATTTTCCTTTCAATTTATTCACTTTCCTGTCAGAGAGTCATTCTTTCAACGTCAGTAATCTAACTTAATTGCATGAGAGTGGGTGATTAGCAAACCTTGCTGGTAAGTTAACTTCAAATGATCCCAAGACCAAACGCTCATCAAAATTGAGGCGGCTGGGAACCCTAAGTTCGCGCCAACGCTCTGAAAAAAATGTTGACTTGGGGAAACAAAATGAAGAGGGATTTCATTGCAAAATTCTTACGCTTTGATTAGAAAGGCGTCTAGGCATTTTAATCATGTTTTGCGTGTTTCAATAAGTTTATAAAATTAAGCTTCTTTATCAACTGAGCGAGCAATATAAAAATTTTTCCAAAATATGGTAAATTAGTCATAAATATTAAGATCCCCAAAATCGCTTTTCTAAACTTATTCTTTTAATGTTAGGTTTTCTGTCTTTTCTTTATGTAGTTAAACAAAAAGACTATATTTTTCAGTATTTAATGTTGATGCACCAGCAATAACAAATAAATTTTGTATCGCTAGAGTTTATTCTCAGCGCAGAGGAAGGAGGAGCAGCTTTGGGCATGGCCGAAGGGTCATGCCACTTAGCGGAACTGTCGCCTGCGGCTAATAATGGACCCGTGCAACTAAATATACAAGTAAAAAAATGTCAAATCACTAAACTAGAGCAATGGCTCTTATCCACTTTCCCAAAGTTTAAAATAAAGTTCCACACTGCTGTATAAATATGTCATCTTCTTCAATACTACCAGTCAACCTCTGTTAGTTTTTGTGAATCAGTTTTCTGTCAATTCACTTCAACTATTTACCTTTCAGTTTTAAAACTAACCTTAAATACTTTCTTTCCTCGTCATTGTGGTTGGAGACGCGTGAGAGAAAATGGTATTTCCTCAATTGTGCATTTAATCATCCAGACTCTATCATCCCCATAAGTTTGGTATCGTCCTGATGGCTTGGATATCCGCCCCTGTCTGTAGTCACTAGTAATAAACCCTTCCCAACACTTGTACGCCTTATTAGATCTTATAGCTTGGCTGAAGGTGTTGCATTGGTGGCCATGTCAACCCAAACCGATCTAAGTGAACAGCAGTTCTGATTTAGTTACCTGAATCTGCAGAGACTCCCTGCAGCAGGGCTATCAAAACGCCGTTCATGTTTGACAGGCCACCTCCACTGACTTCGAGCTCCTCACAGCGGCCACTGCTAAGGCAAGATCGAAGAAAGAAAGGCTTACTGCAAAGCCTTATTACATCTTGATGAATATTCTCCAGCGAAAAGGATTTTGATTAAGAGACAAACTCCCTGGAGATCGTCTAGCCTCTGGCACTGTCTCCTCAACTTCATAAACCAGTAATCTAACGCAAAATACACTCTCAACGTTTAGTAACAATTGTGTACAGCTCGTAGAGCGGTTCAAATGCCATCAGTCAACGTTGCAGGCAGCACTTATAACAATTTCTGCAGTGATGGGTAGAATTTCTTCTCAACAAATATGCAAACCTGAGCTTGTGAATATCTGCTCGTATCAACGGAATACTTTAATCCGAGTGTGGTAATAAGATGTGTAAGACGTCAGAGTGATGTAATGATTGCAAAGAGGACTACACACAGATCCATTGTTGTTTCCAACTCAGAGCGCAGCGGCAGCGGATAAACTTCCGTGGAATTACACTTCAAGCGATTTCCTCCATGGTAAAAGACATTTAGCACGCACATCAATTTGCAATTTTGAAGTCAATGCATGATAAACACCACGACTATTCCAACGTGCTTCAGATGTGCTCGTAAGTCTCGTCCTACGTCTGTTGCGCCCATTGCTGCGGTAGAGGCCTGTGTCAGACAATTAATACAACTCCCACGCCTTGAGACATGCCTTTCTTTGGCTTTTATAACCTTAAAAGTCCCAATTTGACATAATTTTCCTTCATGTGGTCTTCCTAAAGAGCCTACGGCTTCACCAAATCCCCCTTGTACCCAAACTACACCTTTATAGGGTTAAAAAAAATGAGACAACCACGATAGAGACTGGAAGTATTTGAAAAAAAAGAAGAGAAGAGGAACAGAGAAAAACACAAAGGCATTGTAAAAACATCCACATACACACACACATGCTCACACATTGCATCCGTAGTTGATTGCGCTAGTTGGGGTGGCTTCGCCAGCCTTTGTGCGTGTGTATGTGTGTGTGGACTTCTTCTGGGCATTTTGGCTATCATTTATGTACAGTATACACACTCAAGGGGAAGTGATGAAAGGAGAGTGGGGAGAGGGGAAGGAGGAAAGAGGAAAGAGGCGACAATGATTGTGCACAAATCAATCGTTCATTGGTTGAGCAACGGAGTGTCGCCCACCTAACCGACTAACTGTAGCAGTAATAAGTACAAGCCGTTGGGAAAGGCCTTCTTGGTGGCATGGTGCCTCAATGCCACAGCCAAACTAAGGAATTGCCAGTTTACAAAAATAGCCGCGAGGGCGACGAGGGTGGGGGAAGTGGAGACCGGAGGGGGAGGGATGGGGAAAGGCGGTTTATTTTTCACTGGTGCATAGAAGTGAGACGAGAGGGTGGGGTGGGGGAGGGAAGGGCGACGTAGCGAGAGGGCTGATGGTTCAGCCAATCCGTTGCATTATTTTCACATCACATCACATTGCTGTTCGAACGGCCTTCTCCTCTGAGGATATATCGCTTGAGCCATTCAGAGGCATCTAAAAACAATGCAGGAAATTTAAATTAATTTCACATGGGAACGAAATGTTACCCTCGTTTCTTTCAAAATTAAAGCGGAGCGCAGCATTCTGCACTGTAGTCTCCTCCACCTCCCACCTAATTTGAACCCAGTGGATGCGATTCGAGGGCTTCTGCTTGAGCAGCTGAATTCAACATGGTTCCAAAGGTGTAGGAGTTTCTTACCAGAATCTGGGAAAAAATCACTTCGAGGTAGATTGATCACATTCAAGAAGACAGTCTACCCTTAATTACGACGGAAAGGGAGGCTAATTTGCCAAGAGCAGCTTTAGGTCATGCTCAACGCGAGTGATGGTGAAGCACGACGTAAACACTTGTGGAGGATGAGGATGAGGCATTATCGTCCTCCCTCCTGCCTCCCAGCCTTAAGTGTAAAGCATTTCACGGTATGAGGGCCTGCGTTGTGTTGTCTTATAAGAATAAGACTTTCCTCTACCGGATTCACCAATTTTAGCAGTTTTTAAAGAATAAACTTCACGTCAACACCGTCCAGTTGCGTCAGCAGTAATTGGTTAAACTTTTGGAAGTGAACGGTCGCATCTGCAGTCCATCAACACTCACACAAAGCAAGCAGAGCCTTCTGGATATGAAGTCGCTCAGCATTCTCTACACTTTTCTTCCCATCAACGCTTAGGCCAAGCATGACTGAAAGCTGTTCCTGACAGGCCAATCTCTCAATATCGTGTCAAAGTGACAAGTCATCCGTGGACGGTCTGCCTGAGTGAATAATTACCAGGACTAAGCAAAATGCTCAAACCACATCTGGACGGCTCTTTCGGTCGCTGTATAATACACCCTCTACCGCATCAAGCCTGGATGAGTCCACCTATGATTGTTAATCAAATAAGAGGCCCTCCTTGGTACATTTTCGGTCTTATCTTAGTGAAATTCAGAACGTGCGTCAGAGTAGCGTCACATGCCCACGTCATGTGTTTTCTGTAACTTGACAACTGCCGAATTGCGTCAAATCGTGTCTCAAGCAGATTACCTGAGTTTGGAAGAAGATGCAAGCTACTCCCACCCTCCAGCCTGTAGAGACGGACTTTTGTTTTCGCCGATCATATTCAGAGAACAAAAAAACTTCAATGAGCATTCGCCTACTAAATGGCTGCGTTCATTCAAACGGCAGTAAGGGAGGAAAAAAATACTTTCAAGAGGATGAAAGCACTTTGTTCACACACAACGCACTTCATGTGACGAATACGCCGCTGATGCGAGAAATAGTGGTGTGTTGAAAAAGAAGACCGAGAGACTAGAAATTCCAATTTGAAAACACCCTTTGATGGGAAAAGGAGACGGGGGGAGGAGGGGTGAGGATGTGGAAAAAAACGGGAAAGCAAATTTAATTTGTAGTAATGATGAGATAAAAGAGAAAATCCAGCCTTCCCTTTACTTTGATAAGATGAAATGCGATAGAAAATTGTATGCAGGAAAATAAATAAATTAAAAAGGAAAAATTTTGAGGCAAGATTTTAAACGACTGGAATTTTCGTAAATAGCATATGAGGAATTTTGAGGTCGTGCTGTACTCCTTCCCCCCCCCCCCCGCTCCCTCCAAAATGAAAAACAAGGTTCTAAATGTACAAAACTCTTCTTTTTCTGTCGTGGTGATAGTAAACACTACAATCCGTGCTCTGTAGTCCTTTTCCAATGAGACATTAAGTAATGGGAAAGTTGCTAGAAGAAAAAAAGCTAAAATCTTACTTTAGCCACCTCCGCTTCTGTTGTACTTCTATTTTGAACTAGGTCACCAGGTTGCATGAAGAGGTCTACAGTGCAGCAATGAGAACTTTTCATTGATACAGTCTCAAAGAAAAATCAGGCTCCGCGGCTCACAAGTGTGTCCAAATTGAAAACTGGTTCAACATATTTGTGATTACAGACTCAGATAAGAAAATCAGGGTGTCACATATATGCGACGCTAACAGTGAACACGTTAGCAACTATCAACCCCTCGGCATTGCATGGCCACCACCATCACTATCAAACGGGTCAAACACAGAATAAAATTTTGTGTAACTGACCACAGCACACAGAAATACACGATTTGGTACAAACAGCACTTGCCAGACGGAAAAATTGCTTCAATTCGATAGTCCATGGTATTTACCAATGACGATCCGAGCACTTACATCGGTTTCATCATTCGCGTCGTGGTTATTTACTTCTACTGTCAAAATCTCCTCCTCCTCCTCCTCCTCATCACCAGCTCTTTCTACCATCTGTGGACTTCCGTCATCTTCACCCAACTCATTTTCCATATAGGATACTCTTCCATCCTCCTGCCCATCTTCTTCCTCTTCCTCGATCGGACTGGGTGACTGAAAGATGCGTGAAAAACGACCAACACTGTCTGGTGGTGGTAATGGCATTGGTCGACTAGCAGGAGGCACTCGGACGATGCGGAACCGCGATATAAAGGCGCGGGGTACAAGACCCTGTTGGGGCAGGGTGTCGCCATCACCTCCTACCTTCTCCGCCAACATCCAATCAGGTTCACCGACGGGAGAGCGGTTGATAATGCGCAACTCCTCATTCGGCCAGATGGGCAACTCGTCGGGCTCGATATTGGCATCTGGAGAACCCGGACCTGCAGCCTCCAGACCCCGGGGGAAGAGGGCAAATACACGACCGCTGTCTGCGCTACCGAGCAGTCCTAGTTCGGCTAAAATGGATTCAATAGTCATTTAGCGATTACTAAAAGGGACTTATTTTCTTCAACTTCTAAGCCATCCTTGGAGACATTCTGACATATGCAAATGTAGCATATGCACCACTATCAACAAATAGAGGGGTAAGAAAACTACTGACGTGAAAGCTGATTTGTCATAGATTCATGATTGAAATATATGCCGTTTTGCTATGCAGCCCAAGTGTCAATCTCGATAACCTTTCGCACTGAGTGGAATAACGTCAACCGTGATATTAGAAGGAAGCTTATACGATGATGTACAATTGCAACACAAAGACTTCTACATCCAAACACAGTCATACAGCTAGCAGACTTCGGTGAGCGCGATCCGTATATACTAGTCACACTTTGTGGGTTAAACCTACTTTATTGTGGCACAATAGCGTGCCATTCTACAGCGTTTTGATCCAGCTAAGAAACCTTGATAATATTCATTTCTTTCAAAAAGTTTACCAAGTCATTCAAATAAAAAAATACGAATCAACGTTGTGACGTTTTGATTGGTTGAAAATTATGCAACAAACTGATTGGTTGAACGGCAGTTACTGCATCTTCCAGTCCCAAAACGCAGTTCTCATAACCTTTGAAATGACAAGTAAAATTCCAGAGCTGATTGGTTGAGCACGTCAAATGATGCGACTGGAGCAAGCGTACAATGGGAACTGCCTGAGCAAGGATGGCATGTGAACGTGACAGTAGATTAGGACTTCACCTATGCCAGCCCAAAAAAAACACCTTTTCCATTCTCCAATAGGATGGTAGTGAGCATTGATGCCATTGGCTGGTCGTATGTAACTGTGTGATTGGTTCAAACACACTCAGTCGGATGACTAATTGGGGCGTATCATGTCAATGGGTAATTCCTCCGCATTCTTTCGGTCTCAAAATTACGTCTTCTCATCCACTGAAAGGATGCTACAAAACAATGATTTTATATGTTGAAGTACATGGTAAGCTGAATGGCCCAGACATATGGAGCGGGCTGATTAGCTGGGGTGCCTGCTGGGCAGTCTTCACAACCTGTCGGCCCCAGTGGTTACTCTCCCTTTCTGTCGGTGGAGAAGCGCCTACGCATTAGGTGGTCGTTTAACCGCAGGCGGTGAGTGATTAGTAAAAAGCGTATGGAAAAGTCAGAAAAGATATCTTGTTCTACAAGAGGGTCCTGGGTTTAAAAGTCAGGTCTCAACTTCAGCACAGTGAAGTCGAGCCTTCATCTGTTTAATGAAGTGAAAGTAGCGATGTACTTAGGGCTAACACATGCAGAAAGCTGATTGGGTGAGTGAATATTAAGTTACTTTCAACATTTCCAGCCCCAAACGCCTGCCATGCCGTATCGTAGCAAAACACCAAAGACTGAAGTGCTTGGTAGGCAGTAAATGGCGGTGTGATTAATTCATATCCCTGCTACGAGATGATTGGCCCACCTGAGAGATAGCGTTCGCACTCGGCATCAGCGTCGGCTTGATCGCACTTCTCCAGCGCCGTCTCGTGATCGGAGAGGGTACGCGCGTGCAATGCAGCGCCATGCTCCACCAGGAGACGGGCGAGGCGAACATTGCCACAAGAGGCGGCGCAATGCAGCGGCGTCCACCCGTCCGTATCGCCAGCATTCACGTCGGCGCCCGCCTCACGCACCAAAAACTCCACCACCTCGACCCGACCCGCACACACCGCGTTGTGTAGCGCAGTGATACCCTCATCATTCGCCTCCGACACGTCCGATACCTATGCAGGCGCAGAGTGAGAAATATTCACCCTCCGCCCTAATGGCACCGAGTCGCATTTAGACAACCAGCTCTCCCCAGTCCTTTTTTACGCTCGTAATAAAGCAACGACTAGGTGCACCAAAATCAAATACACAAAAGCTTCTTCAGTGTTTAATTAAACGAAGCATTTAGCAAATTTACGCAGAAAAAAATTGTTTCCAACGTGGGGGAATAGCGAAATGTAGCAGGTGATTAAAAAAAGCTCGTGCGTTTTTCAGTCTAGTCCAGTCTATTCTCTCAACTTGTGGGAATTTGTAGAATCCGTGCGATTGTTTATGTGCACGCGTTATAGAGCTCAACTAATCTCGAGTCAGTCCATCGGCACGGTATTTCTTATTTTGCTTTCTATCGCTTTCATCTCATTTCAAGCCAACCCGCATATTCTGCAATGTCGATTGAACCTGGTGGCTGTACAAATTGGAATTCAATTTCATGGACGCAGAAGTCTCGTGGCAGCAAATTCACTCCGTAGCATTTGGCAGGAGAAGACGTGCTACTGAGAAATGTTTTAAAAGAATATAACACCAAAAGATTTATCGCATTCAGTAGGGCCTATTATTCTTGCCAATGAAGGTTTACGGTGCAATGTCAAAAACCAACTCTTGAGATTTCAATCTCAGAATGGGAGGGAGGGGAATGCTACCTCATCCACAACATTTTCACCAAATTACTCCGTTTAATGCCTACAACCTCTTCCTTTCTAGAGAGATATCCGAAAGTGGCTGCGAGTGGGATTTTTTCTGCTTCTAGGGACAAGGTGCTTGACAAAGGCGGAACCTCCAGGCTCGGAAAAGGATTAGAAAAGGGTTATGAAATCGAAGTACCTCAAAGATAACAGGAAGCAAAATTTAACAGCGTCATTTACGCCCGAATGAAGTACGCTGTTATCCCAATCATGTGACAGGGTACTGCATTCTGGAAAGGCACCCAATTAACCAGCAACTTCTGGCCAATTCTGCATTTACCGCCTACCGCATTATTGCAAATCTCCTTACCATTCACCTCCTAGGGGCTTCTCTCACTTGGCTGAATGATTTTATGCCCATTTTTCCCTCCCTAGAATCCCCCAGAGGGAAGTTTTTCATGTGTAGTAGCGACTAGCGGGGGTTGGAATATGGCTAGAGGCATGCCAATCAGATACCAGAAACTTTACAGGAAGACACAGGTTGGGAAAGTCGAAGAATGCCACCATACTTAAAGAAAACCTATCAAATACATTTACCACGAAAAATTTAATGATATTTTCTTTTGTTTTATTAAAGCACCATCAAATACTACTTAAAGTTAAAAGTACTACTGGAAGAAATTGTCGCATTCTACTTACTTCCCCAGCCGCCTTTTTGACTAATGCCAGGTCACCTTCTAAAGCAGCATCAAGAAGTAGAGCCAGTGGATGGAATCGAACTCCCGTTTTCGGTGAACCTGGATCCACTTTATCCATCGCCTTCAACTCCTCTCCCTCTTCTTCTCCCCGTTCTTCCACCTCCTCGCCATCCCCCACAGCCTTTCGGAGAATCGGTTTCGTACCCGCGTTAAGCCCTTCCTCACTTCGCACCTTTTTTGGTGACTCTTGACTCACAATCGGCGATCCATCCGTATCTGCAATTGCACTATCCTCACTTCCGTCAACAACACGGGATCCAGGTCCTCCAATCACCTTTCTCACTGGTTTTGGAGTCTCTAAAGAACTGCTTGAAGACCCGGCTGATGTTGAGTCTTCTTCGGAGTAGGGAATAGCTACCTCGGACACACTGCTCGGTGCATCGGTGAGGGATAGCCGTTTCGCTTCGGGTAGGAGAACTTCGATACTCTGTAGCTGCTGCGACGCGAGCTGAGCCTGAAGGTTCTCACTAGCAGTGCGTTTGTACTCATCGGTGTGTTCGTTACGCCACTGAGGTGGAGTGAGGTAGGTGGCGTTTATCTCCTTACGAGAAGCAAAACGCGCCTTGTGGAGGATGGGACTGGGAGCGGGGAGGGATGGGCGGGGTGGTGGAGGTGAGAGCTTGGTAGTGCCAGCGGCGACAGCTGCAGCAGGAGCGTCTTTATCAACTGGTGCAGAGGCAGGACGGTTTAATCGGGGCGAAGGTGTGGGTGTGAAATCCCGTTTTTGAGCACCTGCGCTTGAATGACGCCCAGACCTGTGAACAGTACGCAAAAAAGTATGTAAATTAAATCCTTGGTTTGCACATAATCAATGTTTAGTCTGGAGGGACAATACTACTTAATATCACTTAAGTGGTGTTGTTGGAAGTAATGTGTTATGAAAAATTGTCGGATGCTAACACCTCTTCCTTCAATCTTTCTGGCTACAGCTTATTTCAGTAAGAATTGGTTCCAAAAAGGTGTACACATAAATACTACTGAAATCATCCGCTATTTCACTTACTACGATAACCTATGTGTTGAATAATGACCAAATTCAAAGAGAAAAAGCGGTATTGCTGCCTTTATGGTTGCAACGCAGCGGTAGTTAATTATTTATGGCAATACGGAACCCTTTAGTGTCTCCTAGCGTTGATAATAAAGTTAATTCCCCCGACTTGTGTACCTGATTACGGCCCTGGCGATAACTCACTCAGATACTGGACAAATGGTAGAGCTGGTGGACCACCACCGACACGATGCGTTTAAAACCTCGACAAGTATTATGGTCACTTTACGGAGCCACAGTGGTTATTCTATGACAGACATCTCCCATAGATGGTTGAATGTGGTTTGCAAATGCCCAAACTGTAAGATCTACAGCAATGCCAAG